ACAGTCAACATTTCAAGTGCCTTGGAGCACTCGTATACATATTTTTAAATTGTCAAAATTTTACTTAGCTGTTGGGTTGACGTTCGGATTCGCCCATAAAATGTCAAAATTTCAATTTCATGTCCGAATTTTAATTTTTCTACCGTTTGGCACATAGTCTCATTGGTTCGTGTGAAATCTCCGTTGACACGGACAACCAGTGGCGGATCCAGTATTTTTCTATATTTCTTTCCAACATATTTTTAAAATAATTGATGTCACTCTTATTTTATGATAACAGAGGACTCTATGAATCGATCTAAATTATAAACGCATACGTATTTGAAATACATAATGTTAGTTTTTCAGCAAGTTTTTAATCGATTTTTCCTTTAGTAAAGTTTGTCCGATTATGCGTGTGACGCTGCTGAAGTATTAGCCGGTATGCCGTCCATTCACATCCAGGGAGAAGAACTCGAGCGATAACATTAAACAGTATCGACAAGAATAGACAGACGACATGGGGACTTGGATTCCCATCTGACCCAAATACTAAGTGGACATGGGTGCTGTAGAAGCTGCCTCTACAGATTCAACCAAGACATTAGTTCGAACTGTGCGACGTATACAGATCTGAACATGTATTATTTTATAGCCTTTGATTTTAAATGAAAGGGAAAAACTACACTTGGTGGTAGTTTTACGGTGGAAAATCTGACGAGATTCATGTGTCAGTCCATTGAGACTATCAGCGAAGCGTCAACTTTAATAATGTCAAAACTGAGACTTTTCCAACAGATTAGGCGTCCGTCAGTCCGTACAATAGAGGAGACCTAAAATGCCTTGTCACACCCACGAGATAATACTTAATCCGGTGGTTTCTTGGGAGTAGGTTAGGTTTAGCGGATTAACCCTTACTATAAACAAAAAAAAATTCTCCCAGGGCATCTAAATTCACAATCGTACCCCAATTAATTTGAAGTAAAAAATGTGTTTGTTTTTATTTTTGCAATTATTTTTCTTTTTAATTTATTTTCTAAATTTCTTCTCATTTAAATTTCTTTTTCATTCTGGTTGTCTATTTTGTTGTTTTGGTAATAAGGTTAGTTTGGAATTATTTGTTCTGTGTTTAGACATCACACATTTACATACTTCATTGTGATGGTATTATTTTACGTTAATGTTTTATAATTAAATGTTTTACATTAATTAATTTTAAATGTTTTAGTTATAATGAATTCAGTATACTATAATTTTATACAATAATGTTTTTATTATTACTGCTTTACACATACATTTTTTTGTATGGACATATGTATGTATGTACTTATATAACTGTAAATGTATGTATACATGTGCTAACAAATAGAAAAATTTTATACAGTTTATTAATTAACTAATAAGTGACAGCAAGAAATACATAATATAATAAAGTAAAGGTTATAACATTTGGCGTAAATATTTACCAATTTTATATTTTCTTATTGTTTTGCTCTTTATATGGGTTTTGTTAAATACTTGCGATGAAGTTAAGGGATAATAACAAAAGAAGCAAAATACTCCTTAAGAAATGCAATATAAGTTTATTTCTTTATATTGCAACACACTTATACATATGTATGTATTTATTATTTAATAATCATTTCTATAATTATTATTATTATGGTATGGATGTATAGTATGTATTTACTATATGCATGTTATGTGTGTGTCTCAGTACCATTTTGTACGACATGAAGGGAAAGGTTGCGTCCAAAATATATAAAATTCTTTGAGGAGTGGGTTTTGATTTCGACTTAATAATATAAAATATATATATAAAATATAATAAATAAAAATGCACGTTTCAACTTGTGTTGTGGCGACAATTTGTTTAGCATATATTTGAAATTAGGAACATAAATATAATATTTAAAATACAGTAAACAATAATATTGACCAACCCAATTGCTCAGGGATATTTATGAGAGCCCCAGTATCCTCCTAAACTTAACAGGTAGATAGAGAGATTTACGAAGTAACAGCAATATTAAAAATATGTTGGAAGGAAATCCCCCATGAAAAAATTCTGGATCCGCCACTGGCTGCACCAAAACTATAATATCTTTAACAGGCGCATTTTTGGTATCATAAAAGCGTACAAAAATTTCTTTTTTTTGTTTTTGATCGATCAGTTTAAATGTCAGAAATATATATAGAGGTGCAATCTAAACAATATGTTCGCAGAATGTAGCTTAACCTTGAGCAATAATATATGTCAAGTTTCGTGAAGATATCTTGTCAAATAAAAAAGTTGTCCATACAATATCATGATTTTGATCGGTCAGGTTGTAGCTACATATGTATATGCTATAGTAGTTCGAACCGAACATGCTCGCAAATTGTAGCTTTACCTTGAACAATAATCTTTGGCATGTTTCGTGAAGATATCTTGTCAAAAAAAAATTTCCAATACAACTTGATTTTGAACAGTCTGTTTGTGTGGCACCTATAGTGTTATAGCTATTCCGACAAATAAGCAGCTTCTTTAGGAAAAAGGACGTGCACAATATTTCAGTCCGATAACTCAAAAACTGAGGGACTAGTTCACGCATGTACAGACGGACAGACGGAAACACGGACAGACTAACATGGTTAAATCGAATCAGTTCGCCACCCTGATCATTTATATACTTATGTATTAATAAATGTACATATGTAAGTATACTTCATAACAGCGGTGCTCACGACATTGCTCAGTTGTCTTCGTATGGTTCGCAACAACATCAAGTGGCTCCGTTAATTTTTTTTAAGAACAACACGCAGACTAATCACAGGACAGCGTCTGGTTGGCGGTAGCTCGCTCGGAACTAACGTAATAATCGTCATTCATTCACCGTTGGTTGACATTGCCTCGCTTTCACTTAGCTATAGCAAACATTGTTTTGTTATTACTTTAATATATTTTTGAGTCGAAGTATTTTTTGTCATTCTGGGAATGTAATTTTTATTGATCTTGCTGTCGTTTGGCTCCACAGTTAAATTTTTTGATCACCTCTGCTGTATAGGGTCTGACGTTTCAATCTAGATGTTATAAACTTCGTCGCAAACTTAATACATGTATATGTACCATATATCCTGTTCAAATTTCAGGTTATGAAAATATTGCCAGAAAACAAATTTTCGTATGTATGGATGTATGTATGTATGAAAACTTGGTATACTCCTTACACAACACTCAACAGTTTTTCTGATAACATTAAATTTTTAAATAAATAATTTTTAATTATTCAGTTGATATAGTGGGTGTCTCTTTTTTACATTTAACTAAAAAGGCATCCCATCATTACATGATGAAATGTAATTTAAAAGTTTTGGAAATATTTATCACTACAGACTGCTCAGATTTCAAAATTGAAAATCGATTGCAGAACCACTATTTTTAAATTATATATCAAGCGTTCCTTTTTATATTAATCAAAGTTTTAATTACTGGCGCTGATTTAAATGCAGGACATCCTAACAACGGTAAACATATGCACAAACAATAATATTCTCCATTAAATGTAAGGACTCAAATTACACATTTTTAAACATTACCCTCAAGTGTGAAAAGTACACAAAAAAAAAACAACAGAATTAGAAAAATATGTATTGTAAATGTTAAGTAGAAAAAAAACTTAATATAACACCGTGCTTTGTATTTATTTTCAATATGTTCATTTATTTATTTTTTTATTTTAGCATTAAAAATCATCATTTCATTGTTTTATTTTTTGTCACACATTTGTTTTGTTGTTTTTAATTAATTATAACAAAAAAGCAAAATGATAATTATAATTAATAATTAAAAATTTAATTCTTTAATAATTCACACAATTGCTAACTAAATTAAATCGATTTAAAATAAATTATAAAAATAATCATAGTGAATTAATTATGTTTAATATAGGTTTCACATTTAAGATCATTTTAACATTTAATATATAATTTTACATAATAATTAAAATATTTAGACATTTGTATTTGTTATTAAATATGTTTGTAATTAGTACAAAAAATAAAGAAAACACAATTCAACGCAAGTATTCTGTTGCAATTATATACTATACTTCATCCATATACTTACATACATACATACATGTCATATTTATACATATGTATTTTATATATAATGTAAAACCTTAAAGACACAAAAAAAAAATATTCCATGCCTTGATAACTTTGAATTAACGGATGAAAATTTAATAATGAATAATTTAAAAGAACATTGCAATTTGATGTAAGAAATGCAATAGATAATATATAATTCACTTTCATGGAAAATATATTGATTAAAAAAGAAATAAAAATATTTATTTTAGTGCTCACCTAACATATGACTCTGTAATCTCTTACAATCCCCCATTGGCAGCAATAAATTGATTTAAAAAAAAAAAAAAAAAACTTTAGTTCTTTTTTCATTTTACACATTATTAAATTAATCACTTTTTTAATAAGTCATTAGCTTGAGTTATTGCAACTTGCATCAAACTAAGACAAATAAAGTTAAAGAAAACTAATTATACTAAAGTAATTATATTAGCGTAAAAATTTAACATTTTTCAAAATTTTCAGTTCACACCATTTTACTTATAGATTCTTTACATACTTGTTTTAATTATTACATGAGATGTGGTATGGGCGGGCCTGGGGTATTTATATTGAAGAATGTGTACTTGTAATGCTAACATTCTATGCCAGTTATGATTTTTATAGTGCTTTCGTTTATAAACTAAATAACTAGTGGCTAATTTTGTTTTGCCTTTTTTGAAATTGGTGATTTTTGTGTAAGAAGGGTGTGTATTTTTTAATTTTTGTAAGTATTATATGTTTTTAGATTTTATTAATTGTGTTCATTTTTTTAGTTATATTTGACCCATATGATTTTTGTTACACATTTCATTCATGGTTTTTTATTTGTTAATAATATGTATATACCTTTACTTTACTGTGTTTATAATAACCATACATCATTTTATAATTATTATTTATAATTTTACCAATTTTGAATTTAATGTATGTTTTTATCCTTCACATTCATTTGTTATTTTTTTATTTTCTTTCACACGCTTCTAAACTTGTATTATATTCAGCATGTTTCCGTAAGCTTACTACTTAAGACATAATTACAAGCTTAATATAATTTAGTCACAAAAGTTTTTACTTTCATTTTATTTTTATATTCCTCAAACTTTTTTCCATATTTTTCCATACCCTAATGTGGTTGGCTACGTTTTATGCTGTCCTGCTGGAAACTAATTTTTCTGAATTACAAGATAACAGTTACATTTATATTCACAATTTCCTCCCTCCTCCAACTAATTTGCCCATTTCGCTTTTGGTTTATTAGCTCCTCCAAGCCAACAAGCCGTAAATTAAATATATGAGTCCAAATTTTCAACTTTCACAGCTTTTTCCCTCTCTCACTATATCCTGACTAATAATTTGATTCATAAATTCTTTACTCCTCGTTTCCAACCTTACTTAAAATTTTGGGATTCTTTACAATCATGCTTTATGCAACATTCATTATATTTTCTTTAACTAAGTAGTATATATGTAAATTTTAAATATAATTATTTATTGTATTTGGGTTTTCTTCTTTTTTGTTTTGTATGAATAGCAAAAACTTAAGCGTTTCGTCGTCTCTCATTATTATTTTTTTATAAATTTATATATACAAATATATATCTTCAATTTCATGTTTACATAATTTAAATTAGATTTACATTTGTATAATTTTACTTTTATTTAAATATATTGTAGAATAGAAAAGCTTAAATGGTTTATATATATTATATATAAGTATATATTTTTAACTCTTTTCCGCGCTCCACAGCAAGGTGCTTTTACTCAAAACCATTTGCTCTCATTTAAATAAATAAGTTAGTTATACTTTAATCTTAAATGTTGCTTATAACTGTAACTCTTTCTTTTTATTAAATCATCAATTTTTGCATTTTATTTTTATATTTCTTTACTCTATTTGTTTGTTTTGTTGCATAAGTCTTAGCGTTTTTATATATATATTTTTCATCTCATGTACTGTCAATGTAATGTCGAAAATAGCACAAATTAGTCTTGACTGAAGATGTTAATAAACCAAATGTATATTAATTTTGAGCTGAAGCTATTTAATGATTGATTCTTGCCTTTTATCTAATGAGTCTTACAAATTGTAATTCGACCCTTTATTTCATGATAGATCACAATTAATTTTTTTCGAAAACAAGCAAAAAATCGTCAACATAAAAAGAGTTTAGAGTGCCAAAAATTATGCCTTGTTTTTAAACATCGTTACCATCAAAACTGAGATGTATTTTGTGTTTTCATTGCTCGCTTTAGCTTGCCAGTTATTATGTGGTGAATTTAGAGCGTTGATTGTATTATTGCATTTCAATTTGCCGTTTTCTGTAACGTTAAGCATTTTTCAGAGGATTCCAGATTTATATGAGCTGGCCAAAGAAAAATTACAAAACACGAAAACATACTTCGCAAGAAATGATTTTTGTTAACAGCGAACTTATGTGTATTTGAACCGAAAAACAGTTTATTTGTTCATATTTCTGTCAAAACTGCGAAAAAATTTTAATGCTGCTTTTAAAAGTATGTTCTATCTATAGCAAGATTGAGTAGTTTCAAAGCTACTCAGCTAAAATAAACTAAAATAATAAAAATCCAATTAATTGAATATATCAAAGTTGCGTCATTTAATGATTGTGAAGGTCTGTATGGAAATGTATGGAATACTCATGTGCATTTAACCAGCTCCCTTTTAATCAATATATTTATAAAGTTTTTACGAGTTTAATTTAATTTTCACACTTATAAATTTTTATATAGTTTAGTGAATTTGGTTTGTTAAAAGTCCAGGCATATATAGGTTAATATATTAAAGTTCATGAGTGTATCTGAGAATGCTGCGGTATATAAATTTATTTTATTTAACTGCCCTGTTTTATAAAACAATGTTTGTTAGTTCTTGAAAATTTGGTGCTTAGTGCATAAGTACTCGCTTGAAATTAAAATATAACTTGACTATTAATTTTATGTTGAAAAATTTCAAACAAAAATATTTGCTTTCTATTTTAGTTCTTATTCTTCGAAGTTATAACTGCCTGAAACTGTTAAACTATTACAATTACTGTTACCCATTAACCGTCTGTCTACAATTAAAATATGTACTGGTAAAGGCTATTTATATCTACAATTTCAGATTTTTTTCCGCAGGCGATTACTGGACTATTAATTTGAATTATGCCATGACAACTGGTAATACATCAGTTACGGCGCTTAGTTTTTTAATGCAAATTTAAGTTTGATGACAATGAAGCATGGACTTGGGCAGACGGCAAAATCCTTGTTGCATATCTATGGTTGTTTTTCTCTTAATATGTCTCTTGCACACTCTCACTCAGTCAGTTTTTCTTTTAGTAATAGTGATTGTTGTTGCTGCTATTATTATTGCAATTGCTGTTGTTGTAATTGCGATTATTTTGCAACTGGTAATGTTGCTGCTGTTGCTGTAGTTTTTGTTGTTGCAAGTGTTGTTGCTGCTGCCGAATGCGTTCACTCTCACAATGCCAAATTTGTGGAGCAGGCTGTTGTTGCTGCTGCTGATGTTTCTGTATCGGTTGTTGTTGTGGCGTTCGTCCAGACGCCTGCAGTCACAACTAATCTTCGTCGCTGAGTGCTTCATATTGCGCCGACAATAGCGGCTTCGGTTCGACTGCGGTCGCCCCTCCTGATGCTGAGACGCCACCAGAAACTGTCATGGCAACACCCCCACTGCCAGTGATACTCATCGAATGACTGGATGGCTGTTTGCCAATGTGTGATGTTGGTGCCTGATGTCCCAACGATGATAATTGCGATGTTGTCATTTGTGAAGAAGGTGCTAAACCTGCTACTGAACTCGGAACATTAAGCGCGCTATACGGATATGCGTACGTCGTTGTGGCAAATGTTGTGACCGGCGGTTGAGGCTGATATGCACCTAATGGTGGCGGTTGTGAAGATACTATGCTGTGATGTGCATCGTTGTTGCTGCTACCACCACTATTACCACTGGAAGATACTGCCGACACTCGTCTATTTTCGCGCCCATCATCGTACTGATTGGGTGTTTTGCGCATTGTGTTACCAACTGTTCCATCGTGCAGGTCCTTGCCTCCGCGAAGATCGTTGTGCGCATGCTGATGCTGCATTTCTTCATCCTCGGTGCGCATCACTTCCACAATGCGATTTTTCACATACTTCATTGTGTCGAATGGATGGTTTTGTGTCACTGAACCGCTAGATGGTATAATACCAACACCACTTCCACTACCACTATTGCCACCTGTCATACGTTGATCATGAGGTGAAGATATCGACGACGAACCACCGTTACCCGCGCTACTGCTACGTGCATGCATACTCATAGATGGTGCGACGCTAGACGGCGGTGTTGGACCATGCGGGTGGTAATAATGACTGGCAGCAACTGCAGCTACATTCTGATCATGTGGTGGCTGCATCATCAGATCATATTTCCGCGGACTCACCGTTTGCTGCATTCGAATAATGTTGCGCTCATCAGCCGGTGTATTGGAACGGCCACTGCCAGGCGCCGATACACCGCTATTACCTTGATGGCCCGAGGCGCCACTGGTGCTAACCGTAACCCCGCTACTGTTGTTTTGTGTGGCAGCTGCCTTATTTCGTTCAGTAACCGCGGCCACAGCGGCCGCTTCTACATCCTTCTGTTGCATTCGTCTATTATATTTTGTCCAATGTTCAGTCATCACCATCGGCTGCTGCTCCTGCAGGTAGGGCATATAGCTGACATGTGGTCGTAACTGCATCGGGTTCGGACAATAATCATTCGCTATAATTGAATCCGCCAACTCGCCGAAGGTGATATTCGTCTTCAGTATTTGCGGCTGCTTTTGTGCCTGTACCTGTGCTTGGGATGTTGGGGGCAGTAATGAAACGCCTTGCTGAGTAGATAAACCACCAGGGGGTCCACTATTCTGAAGACCCCCACGGTTTATATGAGAAACACTACTACCACGCGAATTCACTACACTAGAACTTGGCGATTCATGTTGATTACTACTACTGCTGGCACGATCGCTGTCCAAGTCGATGTTGATGACACTCGGCGAGTTCGCCTTGCCATTATTCTCGGCTGCGGCCAGTGAGGCGGCACCAGGATGTTGTCGTACTGAGGGAGGCAATTCACGCGAGTTATACTGTAAAATATATATTTACATTAAAAACATTCAAACCATATTTCAATTTATAGATAACAATGTACTCACATATGATGGTCGGTTCATATTGGCTGGATTCGGTTCCGAGCTGCCCTGTATGATCGATTGCTTTATGATTGCATCAATTAGTACCTGCGCTGACAATGTACTGTCCTGTGTTGTCCTATGATAGCTGCGAGTTAATAAAAATACAAACACGAACACAAACACACAGATGAAGATGCCATCGTATGGTCGAGACGGTCATGTGGTCATGCGGTCAACGATGAATGAACCATGCATTTTGATGGTTAGCAGTTGATGAATGAGAGAAACATTTCGGTGATGATACATATTAATAAGTATGGAAAGAGAAAAAGAAAGAGTCATAAGAACAATATGAGCTAGTCTTAATGCGAAATATATATGTATTAATAATTAATTGCTATGTATTTAATTATCTCGCATAAATATGTATGAACACTTCTGTTTGGCAGCGCAATTAACATGAATACGTACTAAAACAAATCCCTCGAAACTAGGAAGCCCTTCGAATGCATTATATATGTATAAGTATGTACAAACACTTGTGAGAATGAGATAAAGCACATTATATGTATGCAACTAGATGAAATTGTTTGGAATATTGCGACCACGCAAAAGCTATTCAACTATCACTGAATTTCCGACAACAAATCTTTAATTTAGCAATTTAATTACCATTTAAAGTAATTTTCCAATATCAGTCGAGTCAACGCAATCGAAACGATCCAAATGGGTATAAAAAAAGTACTGTCCTTTCAGCACCTTTCTTATACAAGAAAAAACCATCCAACAACCAACACACATCAAACTAACACAATTCTTTTTATACTGGCTTTAATTTTATAAAACAAAATTTTGAAATTAATATTAACTAGCTGACCCATATTTATTGATTATTTGTTTAGGGTTCTTTGAGTCTGAATAGTAACTTTTAGCTGATATTGATCTGTATCAATATTTAAATACCTAGTTGGCAATTATTGCAACATCCTTCGTGAGTTAGTGATGTTTGAATGAATATTAAAAATTCAATCAGTTTAATGTACTATGTGCTATTTTGTATTATGCTTTATAGTTTCCGTTTGCGGCTTATTGCATTCACTTACATATCTCTTTCTCGATCGGGTATAGCACGCGGTGGTCCAGTTTCGGGTCCCCCTCGCATATAATGCTGGGCCGCTGCAACTGCACTCATGCGCTCTGTCATGCGTCGACCAGCTGCATCACGCTCGTTCGCAGCAATGCATTCCGCCATGCGTTCCCGTTCTCGTTCACGATCACGGTCGCGTTCTCTCTCACGTTCTCTCTGTTCACGCTCTTTTTCACGCTCTCGGTCGCGCTTCTGCTGTAAATCACGATCCCGCTCGATAGCATGCATTCGACGCTGGAGATCAGCATTAGCTGCAACGCTCGCCGCAGCCTGCTGTTGGCGATATTGGTGATGTTGTTGAGCAGCTACTGCCGCAGCCGCTGCGCGTTGCTGCTGATGATAGTTTAACTGCATCATTTGGTAGCGAATTTCCTGTTGAGTGGGAGGCGGTTGGTTCGGAGAAGAATGTTGTTGATGCGATGGTGGCTGTGGCGCTTCATGTCGCAGTTGTTTCTCTTCCTTCTGTTGCGATGGCACTGGTAGTTGTGGCTGCTGTACGGCAACATCCACGAACGAGGAGAACGCATCATGACCAGCTAAAGAATGACAGGGAAACACATTCATTGAATGTTTGTTAAGAATGGAAAGCGCCTGAAGTAAGTACTGACCTGGCGGATAGTTATGTGGCATCACATGTAAACGATTTTGAGGCATTGTTGCAGGTGATGGCGGCTTTGAGCCAGTATTATGGCGTTGTATTACCCCTTGTCGTGGGGGAGGTGGTGTGCGATGAGGGCTGGGAGTACTGTAAGTTAGAAACATAGGTAAATACAAATATGTCTATTCATCTTAATAAAGCTTAATAATATGTCAAACATTAAATATTTGTTGTTTATTTAAAATTAAATTTTATACTCTTTCTTACCTGTTCACATGTTCAGCAGGCGAGGCACGACTCGAATACTCAGTTCTTCCACGGTCCTTGTCGTAGAATACCAGTGCGCTGGCTGGTCCACTAACACTATTACGAGGCGATGGAGACTCTTTGTCCGACCCACCGCCTCCTCCACCGGCACTGTTACTGCTGCCACGGGATACGTTACGCTGTTGACCTTGCATTTGCTGTGACGTTATATAGTCATGCAACACTATCTGACGTGTGCTCAGTACTGACGACTGGTCAACGGAATATGGTGAACGTGCATAAGGCGAACTGCCACCATAGCCCTGGGGCTGCGGTGCTTGTGGCGATGACTGTTGCGGAGGTGGCAACACACCGGGATGACCAACCACTGGAATTTGCTGCTGTTGTGCTGGACTTTGGCGCTGCGACGTTTTATAATATTCGTATGAACGTTTGCTCTCCATGTGGTGTGAAGGCAAGTGAATAGGTGTGCCCTGGGTTATGGAGCCAATTTTATTGTTTGCATCAACACCAGAAGGAGGAGTCTGCCTCAATATACTCTCAAACTTAGGGCTCAGTGTCGCAGGCGATGGATGTACGATAATTTGTTGGGCATTATTAACTGGCGTACCATGTGTAATGGAGCCTTTCGGACCAACCATTATTTGTTGTTGTTGCTGTAGTTGTGATGGTGATGCTGATGTAGTGTGGGAAGATGGTCCATGTATCAGCTGCGGACTTAATTTCGGCGCCATTTTACCACCCCCTTTGCTACTATTACTTACTACTCCCGGTTGTAACTGCATGTGGGTCTGGTGCGTGGACAGAGGCGGCTGTTGCGGTGGCGGTTGTCCGCCGCTCGCTTGAGATCGTGCACTCACGACACCTTGTATTATGGGACCAGGTACTTGAGGCATGTAGACGGAACCATGTGCTCCTTTACCTACTGTTGCCGGATGTGGATGATATAAATACGTTGGGTTTGAAGGGCCTAGATCTGGACCACGATATATGGATGCAGCGTTGCCGACATGTTTAACAGCACCTGGTGGTGGTTGATGGCGGGGCCCATTATCCGTGCTCAACGAACTCGTACCGCTGTTGGATGAATGCGGTGAGGGACCATCTCGAGCAGGTTTCTTTATTGAAAGGTCAAGAGTCTGAGGTTCTGGTTCGTTGTTCCGAAGTTGTTGAGCACCAACGCTAGACATTCCATATCGAATTACATCTGGTGGCTGCTGTGTTGAGGATAGCGTCTTTCCAGATTTCACCACGGGTGTTATAGTCGCCTTGATTTCATGTTGATGTAACATGCCATGTGGGGGAAGATGTTGGTGAGATAAATGAGAGTTCACAACAGATATTGTTGCTAAATTTTCGGGGTGCACAATAGCACCAGGCGGGCCTTGGCTACTTGGTGGACCTTGCCCAGTATTTGGAACCGATGCATTTGATTGACGTGCATTCAAACCTATTGGTTGCCCATGAGCTTGCTGCTTTACTATAGCTCCCTCATTACGGAATTCACCAACTATTGTAACATCGTTATTAGAATTATTATTATTGTTATTACTAAGATCTCCCCGACTGCGTATGGGTTCCATGATCGGTTTCACGCTATGCATAGGCGCCGCATTCGGCATTTGTGAGGGCATTTTCACTGGCGGCGGACCCTTGGTCTTAAGCGACAGCTCAATTACTGAATATAAAACATCTTGCACATTCGCACCAGTTTGTTCGCGTGGAGGCATTCCCATGGCCGGCTGTGGTGGTCCATTCAGTTGAACAGCGTGAATTTGTTGGGCATTTGCTATTGGTGGTGCGAGTCCAACGTTGCCTTGACTACCCAACCCACTACTGTTTAATATAACTTTGGGACTTTGACGGTTCGCTGGCGAATTTTCGTTTTCCTCGTCTGCAGTCTCAGTAGCTGACGAATCATATTCCTCGGATGTCTTTTGCTTTTTTGGCGCTTGTCCCAGTGGTGGTAGCAAACGTTCATCGGCTTTAACTCCAGCAGATGTCATAGTCACCGTTGTAGTGTCCGCTGCATTAGTGGAAACACTAGCTGTAATCGGCGTCTGGAGCTTTTGCACATCCTTTGTCATTGAGTTATGTCGCTGTGACTCTGGGCTCTCCACAGAAGCAGTATCACTTCCACCAACTTCTCGTTCATCGCACGACGAAGTACTTACATCAGATTCATCACCATCCATTCGACGATCTTCGTCTGTAAGGTTTATTTGCGGATCAAGATCCAATTTACGCCGTATACGCATTAGACAAGCCGAACAACAACGTGTTGCCTGCGGTGGTATTTGAAACTCTTGAAAGATGGGATCTTGTATATCGGACGCCAGTTCAAACAAACGTGCCGGAATGTTGTGTAGACGTTTAGCGCGATCTTTCGGGTTCGGACACGTCGGAATGGGGCAATTGGTATAACGATTACGTACCGATTTACATTGACACGAGTTACAGACTCGCGCTCCCACCGGTATTGTATCATCTGGAATGCCGTACTGTTGGCCGCGACCCTTCTTAAGAGGACGTGTACGAGGACAAGCCTCTGCCTTGCAAACGAAGCATATAGCCAATTTATCTGCATAAAGAGAATTAACAGTTATTAATAACAAAAAAATAAAAAAAAACATGTGAATACAAAAAAAATTAAATGTGAGTCTGAAATAACAAAAGTTGATATATTTTAAGACTATATTTCGGTTGTTTTGTATTTGCGACTCTTCAATGCTTTCCCTTATTGTAAAAACAAGAGTACATATCGACATCAACCCATCTTATTAACAATTCTAAATCTAGTATTACAGTGACATATCAATCTATAGACCTCAATTTCGTAATTGGTTCAATATTTTTGTTGTCAACTCCAAAAAAAATTAAACTGAAAATTATGACGTGACTTATAAGCACATAAGGACTTCAAAAGTAAATTATAATTAATATAAATAATTGTTGTAAGAAGTATGAAATACACAATTAATTAAATATTTCACTGCAGTATTAATAAATTATATGCCTATATACGAAAAAAGAGCAAATAATGGAACAACTCGAATGGTCGCATTTATTGCGAAATGAAAACAAAAGAAACTTATATGAGCAGCGCAAACAAGCGAAGAAATAAAAAATGTTCTGTTAATTAATTGCATGCTCACTACCTTCATTCGATTAATTAGCAATAATATATAAGAGCAGAAAAAAGGTGATCCGCAAAACCAGCCTCACCGACCTGAGTTGGTAAAAACAGTTATGCAAAGGTACCAAAAAACCAAAGGAAGTAGACATGAAGACTTGTGAACGTAAAGTTTTCTATTATACGATTTATCATATATATTCGTGCGGTTTTCTAAGAGAGGGCTCTACTAGCATTATTTCGCGTCGTATTCATCTGTGGCTATATTCATTTCAAAGGTACTGCCATTTCGCGTCGTTTTCAGTAGATATAAATTGTTTGAGCGTGAACAACAATTTGTTTCATTCATTTGAAAATGTCGAAATTTGTACCAGATATTATTTTAACATGAAGAAAAGTGATGCCGAAAGCCACCGTATTTTACTGGACGTTTATGGTGACCATGCTTTAGCCGAACGAACGTGCCAAAAGTGGTTTGCACGGTTTAAAAGTGGCAATTTCGACTTAGACGACGGAGAACGACCCGGACAGCCAAACAAACTTCAAGACGAAGAATTGGAGACATTGCTCGACGCAGATGCATGCCAGACGCAAGAAGAACTTGCAAAAGTATTAGGAGTTGATCAAGTAACCGTTTCCAGACGATTAAAATCATTAGGATTCATCCAGAAGCTTGGAAATTGGGTGCCTTATGAATTAAAGCCAAGAGACGTCGAACGTCGATTCTGCATGTCGGAAATGTTGCTTCAACGCCACCAAAAGAAGTCGTTTTTGCATCGGATTGTCACTGGCGATGAAAAATGGATTCATTATGATAACCCAAAGCGCAAGAAATCGTATGTGAAGCCCGGCCAACCATCAACATCCACGGCAAAGCCGAATATCCATGCTGCTAAGGTTATGCTATGTATTTGGTGGGACCACAAGGGTGTGCTCTATTATGAGCTATTGAAATCGGGTCAGACGATCAATGGGGACCTCTACCGAAAACAATTGATTCGTTTGAAAAAGGCCATCGCGGAAAAACGACCAGAATATGTGACCAGACACGAATCAATAATTTTTCATCATGACAACGCTCGGCCAAATGTTGCAAGGCCAGTTAAAAACTATTTGGAAAACTATGGGTGGGAAGTTCTACCTCACCCGCCTTATAGCCCAGACATAGCACCTTCCGATTACCACTTGTTCAGATCAATGCAGAATGCCCTCACCGGAGTACGCTTTTCTTCAGAACAGGGTATCAGAAATTGGATTGATTCTTTCTTGACCTCCAAGCCGGAGAAGTTCTTTTGGGATGGGATCCACAAACTGCCAGAAAGATGGGCAAACATCATAGCTTCCGATGGGCAATACTTTGAACATTAAATGTATAACAATTCTTTCACAATAAAGTCTTAATTTTCGTAAAAATACCGCACGAATTAATGCATACACCCAATACATCTACGATTTTTTCTGTGAATTAGAAGTAATTAATGCGTTAGACTCGCCGCAAGGCTAGAGCAAAGTATTGCTCATCTGTAATCCATTCTGCATCCACTTTAATTAGCACGTCGCCCCTTCGTTCATTGCCACACTGAAATCGCAAATTCAGTTCAATTGCACCATTTTTGTATATTTGTAATTTACAGATTAACGATATCAATTATATTTTTCATGAATTTTATTTGTACTCATTAATTTAATTCTATACAAACATGACTGTTTGAAATATTTTTCTTCCAATTAACGATATGAAAGAAACATAAATATTCGTACTCTTCTAGACAGCTTCTCTTAAATGGAAAGCAAAGAGATTTTTTTAACAATACTGACTGCCCTTTAGGGATTTTAAGGCTTTTCTTGTTTGAATATTAGACGGATTAAATGGAATTGCTTTTCGACTTATAATTAAATATACGAGAACACACAAAATAGGCAAAAGACCAAAAATTATGTGAATTTCAAGCTTTATAGAAACGTCAAGAACACTTAACTTTTTATAGGTTTGCTACTAATCAAGTTTATGTAAGGAATCTTTTGTATTTATGAAGTTAGCTTCGAGCAACCGAAGTTAACGTTTTTTCTTGTTTTAAAACATTTTACTATACCCTATTTTAAGAAACCAGTGCAAACTTTAATTTTATTATATTTTATTTATATTTTGCTCCAACAAACATACAATAATTGTTGACATATGATATACTCGAATGTATATTTTATATATTAAATTTCATTCAATCGCCTATTTTCCTTTTTCAGCACGCAATTTTTTATTTTACAAAACCAAGTAAGAAATCACATGTTGCCACTCAAAAAAAATTAAATCATTGACAAGAAAAAATTAAAATTATTTAACAGGTAGGCAGATAAGTGTATAGGCTAATGAATAGATGGCATTACTGGTATTAAATCTATATAATTTTTAGTCAGCCATAACCTTCAAATGGTACGTGTACAAATTTGACAGCTGTTGAACTATTAGTTTACGAGATATAGCATTTTGAGTGAAGCAACTTGTGTTAGTTTACATTTTGTGTGTTAATAAAGCCTTGCTTTTTGGCGAAAAAAACACTGTTGAAGCCGAAGTTTGGCTCGGTGAACATCATTCGTTTCCGGCATTCCAGGTGCCGGGCGAGCTCACAATCCTTTAAAAACAAAAACAAATTGATGAAGCTGTTTAATCGTAAACAAACCGAATTTTTGCGCCGATATGTGACAATGGATGAAGAATGTCCCCATCACTTCACACCGGAGTCCAATCGACAGTCATCTGAGTGGACTTTTTGGCTTATTTTGAGGTTAAAGACAAATTGTATTAAAATGGTATTGAAAACCACCGGTCATACAACCGCTATAATTGTATTTAATAATAAAATCAAAATTCAATGAAAGAACATTTTTTTCTTTGTTAGCCTGCGAATTTTTCAGCCCACTATCTCTCCCATCTTCTCAAATCTTTGTTTCAAATACTGAATACCCAACGCCCCTCTGCGAAAATAAATCTTGCCAATTTGCCAAAACATAGAAACTGTAAATAATCACCGGTACTGTACAACCAACCATCGATGATCTCTCATGCTCACTCTCACTTTTGGCTCACTTCCGTTCGCTTAATGCTTACGCAAAAATAGAAGAAAAATCCAACCACTTTAGGTTTGTTTGTTGGCGGGTTTGTGCATTCACCCAAGTGCCAGTTAATTTGCTAATTTGGTGGTTAAATTTTAATAAGCCAACACAAAAAAGATATAGATAGGGCAGTGTATATTCTCTGGCATATTCATTCATATTCAACAGGGAGAAATACAAATGAACTGACAATACTATGCGAAGTTATGTGTTGAAAGGTTTTTCTTTTTACATTTCTTCTTCGTGTTTTTATGAGTTTCATAACATTTTTGTTTTTGCTTCATACTCACGTTGATAGCAGCAAATTATGTACAATTATTTTAATGAAATGTAAAGAAAAGAGTATGTGGACCAGTAGCAGACAAGCGTCAAGCGGCAGCGCGTCATTGTGGTGGTGTGTTGATGGCGAAGGGGTGAAATTTTTAATTGCATTTAAGAGAAATGCTGATTCCGTTTATTCATTGTGAGGGCGTTGATTTTTAATAATATATGAGCGGCGGAAAGGATGCTAAAGTGACAATAAATGTTTGGGAGTGGGACGAGTTGGATGAAGAATGAGCGCAAAGGCACCTGGGTCATCATGAAATGTGTTTAACGGGTAGTTAAATTTGGTCTCTAATGAAAACAACTCAATTAACTTGTTTAACGTTTTGCTTTTTTTGTTTAACGTATATCATTTATGAGTACTTATAGATTTGTATATAAATGAATGAAATACTTATGTACATACCAATGCAGATGTATGTATATTTTTTTACGATTATATCCCATAATTTTTGCAAACTGATTCAAATGCAAAAACCAATGCATGTAAGTAAATATCTCATAATACATATGAAGCACACGTACGTTATGGTAATACGAACAATTATTTTTTTTTACATTTTTTAAATTTTTTTTATGAACATAATTTTTTATTACTCGCACAAAAAGTACTGGTTGTTATTTAATTAATTTTATATTTTTTTACAAAAAATTAAAATGGTAAGCTAATTGTAAAATTATTCAAACCCAAGAAAGAAAATATATGAAAACAAATGCAAATGTTGATAAACTTAGATATGTATATACGAGTATATTTAATTTGACCAATGAGTTGTGACCTGCACAAATATTTACAAAAGTCGCCAATATGCAGGATTGCATTTTCCACATATTCATCCTATCACCCTTGCTTCGGCAAGGGTTGCCCCATTAAAAATTCAATTGACATCCAATACCCCAAAATCAAACCACCATGCACCAGCTTCACCAACATATGTATGTACATGCATCCCTATATGCCTATATTTCCTCATCCATCTACCTATAAGTACATTGGCCATCAATCATGCATT